AGGGACAGAGACTTTTGGGGTGTTGGACTTTTGGGACTTTGGGTGATTTTTGGGTTGCTGGACTCAAGAACCAAAGGGAAAGAACATGGCCCAATTTGGTGGGGTGGGTCTTTTTGCTCATGGTTTGTGTTAGGAATTCTGTTTGTGCATTGTTTCCCTCCTTTATTAAAGGGCTTTTGCTACACTCAGACTCTGTGCTTGCGAGAGGGGAAGTATTGCCTCCTAGAGGTGCCAGGGGGGTGGTATGTAATTGTCCCAGGTTACTGGGTTGGGGCTATAGCCAGTTTTGCATTGTGTTATTGAAACGGATCCCCTAGATACTAAACCCGGCCCTTGCTGCTGCCAACTCAGACCGGCAGAAGGGTTACACCTATAACGGACAAGGATGTAAAAACGGGCCCATACTATGGAGGGAAATTGTCCTAAACCCATCATAGTTGGGTTACGCCCGAAGTGCAATATTTTATCACTCGCATAAAAAAAAATCTGCCTTTAGCTAACTGGATGTTTGCAAATATACAGCCCTCTTTTGATTCTTAGCCTCTGTGATATCTTGGGCTAATGAGTTCCGCAGGTGAATTACGCATTGTGCTTTTAAAACAAACAAAGTTTCCTTTATTCATTCATATTTCTGTAAATAACTCTCTCTGTAAATAAAATGCAAGCACACTGCACCTTTTAAACATTCAATTTATATCCATAACAGCTAACACAAAAGAACAAGAGGGTCTTACTGATAAACTTGATTTCATTTAAAGTAGAGTTTGACAAAAATAGGATGGGATTGGGTTGGGCTGGGTTTTTATTTAAAGCATTTGCCTTTAATCACACGCACAAAAGAAATCATAATGATCCCTGGCCTGACATTCACACATGATTACTGATGGTTCTTGCATTACTTATACTCCACCAGCACATTAAAAAGAAACCCAGGCAGAGGCCCTGGGAGGAAAAAGTCACTTTTAAAGCAGCAGCTGGTCAGTTTCATCTCCAGGATATATTTACAGTGAAATTCATTAACATCAGTGACCAACATAGAAGCAACCATTTGATTATTCACTGAAATTTAAATATTAGAAATTAGGTGATGTTAGCTATACACAGCTATATTTAAAATACAATTCAATACATTTCTCAACACAGAATCCTCTAAAAACTGAAGAACCCCCCAAATACACAAATACCAGATCATCCTTACTCGAGTTCATATAGTTATTTATACCCAGTTTTAAACCCAGAGATCAAAAGCTATGACCCTTCCCCACTCCACCCAGCCTTCCCTTGGCTTTGTAAGCAGCAAGAAGATCCTCTCTCTAAAAAGAGAGCTTGGGCTGGGAATGGCCAAAGATTTGGAAAAAGCCCCCAAATTAAAGGAGCAGGCCCCAGCAGCAGCCATTTTGAATGTTCACATGCTTGCTGTAATGTCATATGTTCACTGCTGGTGTGACAATGCAAAATGGCTGCCACACAATTCAGTTGTAGTGGAGGGGCTTAAGTGGGGGTTAGGACGAGAAGGAGATTAAAGAGCTAATGGAAAGGCAGGGGGTCTGGGATAAAGCAATTTTCCATTATGCAAACTGGCTATGGTTTTGAATTCTGGGTTGCAGCAGGCGCATTTGCAGTTCCGTTCACGTCTCAGTTTTGAGGGGGGATCAAGGGGTCCTGCCTTTAGATAAACGAGTACGGCTGCCAAAGAGCTTTCGGGTTACTAGCTAATTACCACCAGACGTTCGGGGCCATTATCACACGCAAAAATAGAGCCCAAGAGATTCCAGACTGGCCTGACACACCACAGGAAGGAAATGCGCCCAATCGTCACATGCTTATAAAGGACTGAGGGGCATTTCCCACCTCAGGTGCTGACTGATGACTTAGGAGGAGTCACTGCAGATTAATATTGGCATAACTGAGCTCAGATGCTGGCCCCAAGTGTCTGCCTTGAACTTAGGACAGGAAGTCAATAGCGGGTCCGTCCTAAAGGCCCCATCACCTCCCTTCAGCCCCCTGCCAGGGAGGCATTAGAGTCAGCCCTAGAAAGGAATCTGTGCTCCCAGAAACGTTGGCAAACAGCCTAGTACCAGAAACAAAGCACAGGTCTGTCTCATCTTACGCTGGGGTTACGTTCCGCAGTCAGCGCCTAAAGTGAAAATCGCGTCCAGTCAAATTCCATTGAGTGGAATGGTGGGCGGAATCGCCCGCACTACAGAAACAGTATTTCAATTGTTATTTTTCTCTTTTTGGGGTTTTTTTTTTTTTT